ATGCACTCGTCCATCTGACCCAATGGGAGACCATGCTCTAGCGTGTGGTGGTAACAGTGACAGGATACTGAGACACAACGCGATCAGAGATGTTATCTTCACAGCTGCTCAATCAGCTGCTCTTTCTCCTCGTCGAGAAGCACCATCTTTGGTCCCGGATTCTCTCAGTAGGCCTGCTGATGTTTTCCTCCCTCACTGGATTCAGGGTCGCCCAGCTGCATTAGATGTGACTGTCATTTCACCTTTACAGTCACAAACTTTATCTCAGGCAGCTTCAACCCAGGGTGCTGCCCTCCGGGTGGCAGAACATCGCAAGAGGGTAGTCCATCTGGAGGACTGTCAGAGGGCGGGTATTACGTTTCTCCCACTGGCCATGGAGACTCTGGGGGGGTGGAGTCGGGATGCCATCTTGTCCATTTCCTGCATCAGTCGCCATCTCGCTACTAGATTAGGCCTTCCTCCTGTTGAAGTATCACACCATCTCCTTCAACGTCTTTCGGTAACTTTATGGCGTTTTAATGCCTGTATGTGGTCCTGCCGATTTGCTGCTCTTCCTGCGCAAGTCGATGGGCTTGTTTGACTCTTTTATGGTTTCTCTTTTCTCCCTTCTATCCTCTTCTTTCATTCCCTCCTCGTTTATTTTCCTGTCTGCATTCTGTAGTTCTTCTATTTCTCTAAGGACCACTCCCTTTTTCTTTCTATGTTATTGTTTACCCCTTTGTGTTTTATAATAATAATAATAATAATAATAATAATGCCCACATGTGGCTTAGCTGCTCTCCCTCTCTTCCACCTATTGTGGATGGGAGTGTCTAACTGTTTTCCTTTTTCCTTTTTCTTCCTACCTTTTCTTTCTATTAGCGATGCATTAAAGCATGAAGACCAGCAATGGTGACGAGCCAGTAGTAGTTAGGAAGAAAAGAGGAAGCAGTGGAAAGAAGAAAAGGAGAGGATCAGCTGGTAAGTAATGACTAGGAGAGAATTTTTAATTTTTAGAATGTTATCTGATGCATATACATGTACTTATGTTGTGTATAAAGTTTGAGCTGATTCCGATCAAAATTGGATTTTTTACGAATTTTTGAAGTTGCTTTAAAATTAGGCCAAAGTCCCAGTACTATAGTACATGGTCTCGGGCCAAATTTTGCCAAAAATGAATAGGAGAAAATTTTTAATTTTTATAATGTTTTTTGTTGCATATACATGCACTTATATTGTGTAGAAAGTCTGAGCTGATTCCAATCAAAATTGAATTTTTAAACAAATTTTTGAAGTTGCTCTAAAATTGGGCCAAAGTCCCTGTACTTTTGAAGTAGGGTGAATCCTACTTAGTAATGCTACTGCGTTACTAGTAGTACGGTGTAGGAGGGATCTGAGTCCCTAAATAAACATTTAAAAAATAAATATAAGACAAGGATATACGTGTAGGAGGTTAGGAAATGAGAACATAAAGAGCATAATAATGGAAAGAAATGAAAAAAATAGAATAAACAACACGGTTTCGGGCCAAATTTCACCAAAATTGACAAGGAGAGAATTCTTAATTTTTATAATGTTTTCTGATGCATATACATGTATTTATTTTGTGTTGAAAATTTGAGCTGATTCCAATTAAAATTGGATTTTTACAAATTTTAATACTTTCTCAAAAATCGGGCCAAAGTTTGTAAAAAGATTTTTTTACTATTGAGCTTGACAAAGCATGACAGGGGTAGGAGTCATGCTGTCTCAGTCTACTAGTTGTAATTCAAGCAGCAGCAATGGAGAGAATAAAAGTATGTTTGAATTTGGGGTGATTTTAGAGCCATTTGTTGAAAAAAGCATGGACTACAGGAATTGACATAATAATTATTATTAAAAGTGCTCATAAATCAGTAAGTTTTAGTCCCAAACAATCCAAACAGGAGGCCTATTGAACAAATAGCATCAGGTATGTAATATAATTAGTATGTTTAAGTAGAGCCTTCACTTGTAACACACTGACAATAGCATGTACATTCCTCATCACAACCTTCACATCTCACTAACAATGTATACTAGATATGGGCCATTAATCATTGCAGGGCATCATTGTATCCAATATCATTAAGATGTCTTTCTTTAGTACACATTTGATAAGAGATATCTCTCACTGTTGTCCTGACATGAAGGACCCTAAAGACAAGGAAAGACATCAGTTTTAAGAAGTTCTCCTGACAAGGTATTAGTCAATAATTCAATGATTATTATTTATTCTCTCTCTCTCTCTCTCTCTCTCTCTCTCTCTCTCTCTCTCTCTCTCTCTCTCTCTCTCTCTCTCGTCATAGGAAGACAAAGATCAAATGGAAACAAGCAGCATGGATTCTTGTACCAGCATCATTTGTTATTTGGCCTTTAAAAGGTAACATTTCTTTTACTTTGATTTGTCTTAACACACATTTCTTTTCTTCTATGTAGGCAGGTGGTGGTAGCGATGCAGTGGCATGTTTGCAATCAAATCTCTGAAGAAGACTGCTGCAAAGAAATTAAATTATTACTCATTAAATTTTACAGTACTTTTATAATTTTATAGTAAATTATAAAATTTTTAAATTTTTTGTAACTATATGTGATATGCACGCATGTGACTACTAGCAAGAGTACTAGTTTAGTAGTCTGCTACACCAACTTATGATGGAACATGCCACTAGGAGCAAGGATCATGACAAAGAGAAAGATAATGGTAGGCCACGTATGCCATAATATAGCTGCATCTATCATGTTACATTTATTTATCTATTTTTTATACCAAACTCAGCGAAAGGAGCACAGAAAAGAAAAAAAGGCGTCCCAGTACACTCAGTGAGCGCTAGCGGACAAGGTAGGATAATGATACACTGCATCTGCATAACCTAATGATATTGCATTAGGCTCAGAGGCTGTTCTAACTCAAAGTAGCAGCGGACGTGTACAAACCGAGGAAGAAACACATGATGGTGGCAGTCTTGTTGCAGCCCCAGTACACTCAGTGAGCGCTAGCGGACAAGGTAGGATAATGATACACTGCATCTGCATAACCTAATGATATTGCATTAGGCTCAGAGGCTGATCTAACTCAAAGTAGCAGCGGACGTGTACAAACCGAGGAAGAAACACATGATGGTGGCAGTCTTGTTGCAGCCCCAGTACACTCAGTGAGCGCTAGCGGACAAGGTAGGATAATGATACACTGCATCTGCATAACCTAATGATATTGCATTAGGCTCAGAGGCTGTTCTAACTCAAAGTAGCAGCGGACGTGTACAAACCGAGGAAGAAACACATGATGGTGGCAGTCTTGTTGCAGCCCGCGCTGCAGGCCCAGACAGGTTAGTCTATATTATTTAGTAGATAGTGTTTAGATCTACCAATATGCATTGCTGTAATACTGAAACTTAGGACTGCTAAGAGAGCAGTGGGGGCCCCGGGAAAGGGTAACAATTTGAGCATTTTTTTATTACAGGGACTTTGGCTTGATTTTTTTAACAAATAGATTTTCTGATACATATTGATGTCCTTATACTGTGTAGAAAGTTTGAGCTGATTCTGAATTCAAATTTTCAAGTTACAGCCATTTAAAAAAAGATCTCCTTTCAGTTTTGGTAAAATTTGGTTCGAGACCATGTACTATAGACCCCCTAGGCGCTAAGACTATTTTAAATGAATTATTTACGGTAGCCACCCACGAATAAAATTACTGACGGCAAGAAGCTCTCCACATCAAAGGCTAATCAAAGCCCAAGGAGCCGAATTGAAGCATAGCAAGAAAACTATGTTGTAGCAACAGTTACCTGGTCTATATGATGTAGTCTGGCCTCCATACTTTCCTTAAATGCTGCTTGTAAGCCTGTAGTACGTTGTAGTGCTCACAAAAATGGCCAGGCGGTGTCACCGCCTTTGATTTTCTTTTGATCTTGAGGCCTTCTTGCCGTCAGTAATTTACATCGTGGGTGGATACCGTTATGAATGAATACTAGGTGAATGTAAACATTGAGGGGGCGAGCGATCAATTCACATTGTTTGATAAGAAGATTAAAATTATAATAAATCCATCTCTTAGCCTGCATGCATATTCAGACCCCGGCCTCATGGCCGGGGTCTGAACAGAGCAAATACACCAGTTAACACAACCAAAATAACCCAGTAAAAGAGACAAAGATGAACTATCCTGTCAATTTGAAAAAATGTGCCAAGCTAAACTTTTAATCAGCTTCCATCAATTAACATCTTTTTGAAATAAAACTACTCAAATAAAATCAATCCAGCTCTTAACGTGCATGCATATTCAGACCCCATCCTCATAGTTCGGCGTGGTCTGAATAGAGCAAACCCACTATTTAACACCACTGACCAAAATGACCTAGTAAAAGTGACAAGAATGAACTATCCTAATACTTTGAGAAAAAGTGACAAGCTAACTGAAACTGCTAATCAAGCTTCTCTCACAATTTTAATTCTGTCAATGAGAGAACTAATCTAGAGGAGTCTTAGATCAAACTGCTTTTAAGTTCTTCAGCCTTTAGGGTGCTTTAGACAGCCCCTCTCTTTTATCTAACTGTTAGAAACTCAATCTGAGTTTGTCACGTTAAAATTTCCGCCATCTTTCTCTTTTTGACCACACCCTCTAAATTAATTTTGCCCACGTGGTCCAAATTTATCAATAATAGTATACTAATTTAATTTTCGTATTCTTCCGTTCATAAACAAGACGTAACGCAAATAGACCTAGACAGATTAGTGTGGGTCTCGCTCATGCTCGCCCCAATCATTATTGTAATCATAGTTCTACCATGCCACCTTGCGATTGACCAATCAGATTGCAGTATTGGAGGTCAATTATTTTTCATATTAACCTAGCTCGTAAAAATATAAACCTATCTCGTTAAATAATTAATTGATTGGCAGTTTGGTACTCTACGCTTATGCTCTTATTAGTCCATTTGTCAAGTTTGGTTGATTCTTTACTGCCTAGCCTGTTAGATATGTTGTATGTATGTCAACTGTGGTCTTATTATCAGCAAATTATGAAAATCATTGTAAAAATTTAATCATCAATCAAAACAATGAGTATTCCGATGGAATTATTAAGAAACCCAGGAGGTTTACTATGGTATTTATTAACCCAGGAGGTTTCTATGGTATTTATTAACCTCGCGACTGCGTCGCTCGGTTAATAAATACCATAGAAACCTCTACCTCGGTGTATAACCTATACTTACAATAATGATATTCATTCATAATATCATTATACAACTCTGTGTCATCATCTATGGCCTTATCATACCTCAGGCCTATGGCCCTCATCCCCTCAGTATGAACAAATAATTTCCTTAGCAACAGTTAGCAACAGCAATGCATTTTTGAAACAGGAGGTGAATAAGTAAATTCCTGGGCTACTTATTCGACCTTCAACTGTCCGGGAAATTACTTATTCACCTTCGAGCTACTTATTCAACCTCCTGGGAAACTTGTTGGTAGGTAAGTTATTTATGAACCTGAAATTGAACAATCTGATTGGTCAATTACAACTAAGCATGGTAGAACTATACATGTATTTTATCTTGGGATGTGAGGGAATTTGCTGATCAACATTGTTAGTAATTATTGTCTCTTATTATTATTTAGCATTACTTGTATATTGAAAGCTAAAACAGCGTTTGCTGATAAAGTTGATGAATTCCCAGTCACGTATTTAAGCAATAGTGAGAAGAATAAATCCACACACATGTACATATGCATACATGCATTTTCATGCTACGAATAATTAACTATTATTGTCAAGAGGTTAATAGTAATAATACTCTTTATTTAATAGAAAAGGATTATTCCCTCAGTCTTTTCTGTGAGAACCCAACGGAATATCCTCTATTAAAGGTAGCGTCAAGCAACAGATTCAATTGAAACTATTTAGCATTTGTTTATTACACTTTAGAGTTTTATCTCACTTGAATTTCATGAAAAGCGACTGAGGGACAACAAAGAGACTCGAATAGAGCAATGGATGAATGACAACAATGGACAGAGGATGCTTGAGATAGGTTAGTTAACTGCATCATGTACAGTAATAATGCTTTAATACCATTTGCCTTTAGTTCCTGTGTCATGCAGTGGGGTATTGAATATACAGCATCATGATGACTTCATTAATATCGCTAGTTTCGTGTGGGCCTCGCGTGAAGAATCAGTTGTATCATTTAAGGTTAAAATAACATAATTATATTGTTGTATTTTAATTTCTATTACATGTGTAGATTAATGCATTAAGCACATATATCATGTTCTCAGGCAAGCACGGTATGTATGTATGCAATAGTTAATGTCTTACTTAAGTTTAGGTGCAGTCCCATTTAGGCTAGTAGTGAAAACGTGCTCTATACCAAGTATTGCAGACACAAGAGGAACAGACATCTCAGAGTGTTTCTGTCTTGTTAAAGTTTTTACGGTAAATTTAGTATGATATGGGGCCAGGGGGCTTAAATTTAGCATCAAATGACAAAGGAAATAATGCAGTTAGAGATACCAAGATCTTGTTTGTAGGATAAAGGAAAGAAGGCGAAAGATGGTAATGATTTAAAGAAGTGGTCAGAAAAAAATAATGAAAGAGTTAGTCGCCACATACTATTTTATAATGAGAATTGGTATCTTTTTTCTTGTTAGGCTGAGAACATTCCAGAGACTAAGCTGCAACCGGTAAATCATAATAGCACCTACTCTATAATATAATTTTAATTTAGGTGTCATTGTTAACTGAGAGCTCAGAGGAACAGTTGCCATTCCAAAGCAATAGGTAGTAAGATTTATAAGGAAAACTTGTTTTTTATTTCTAATGCATGATTCCTAATGCAACTTTGATGCATAAGTGACTTTTAAGACATTATTTTTTTAGTCCAACTCTTGAGGAGCCTACCTTACCTCTCCCTGCAGCTAGTCAGCCAGGATCAGCATCACAACTCCAGCCGTTAAATCCATTGGTTCCATTGGTTCCATTGGTTACAGATCCATTGATTCTTGAGACAAGGCAGTGGCTGGCTGACAACAATTTTCTTTCCCATGCTTATTCTAGCTTAGCTCATTATAGACGTGAGTACATCAGTTAAACTACAAAAATACATGTTAACAACTGCATAAATCTAAACATTGCTTACTATAAATGTTGCCTTTACATGTATATACAGGTATTGACCTTCTAAAATTAACCTGTGAAGAGTTAATGAAATTATGTGGCTTTGTTGATGGAATGAGGCTATATAACACTCTGCATAAAAGGTTTGTGTCCCTTAATTACCATTACCCATAATTTCACATCATTATAGGTTTCTTAAAATCATCTTTATATCATTTGAAGAAGGCACAGGTATTGTACGATAATTTTTAATTTTTTAGAGCTTTTGTCTAATTACCATTCATTTTTATATTTTATTATTTTTTGTGTTCACACAATTATTCTATTCATAGCATATTATCCTGTATTTCTGGAAGAATACAGTGTTGCGCATCTGAAGGACCATATCGCCGAAAAATTTTCTATAGAGTCATCCCTCATTTCTTCAGTTCTATTAAAGCACAAGAATGAAAATTTACTAGTTGTTCACGATACAGTTAGTAAAGCATCAATCAATAAATTTTTCGTTGTTGATATTATAACATTTCATTGTTTATTATAGGTATTAGAGACTATAAATAATGAGGAATTCTTCATTGCTACAAAAGGTCAGACTATTGTTGTTATTACTTTATTATACTATTATCATCATAGATGAGAGTGCGGCTGATGGGTCGATCAAGATTATTATGAAGCATGTATGAACAGGACTAATTATATTTAGTGTTTTTTAGTAGTAGCAGTGTTTTAGTATTGTTTCTAGTTATTGTTTAGTATTGTGTATTGTTTTAGTATAGTTAGTATTGTATTGAATTAGCGTTTTTAGTTTTTAGTAGCTATTGATTTAAAATTTTTTAAAGGTCAATCTCATGTGGGCAGGCAGGTGGGATTATAATTATCATCAAAATCATTAATTATTATGCAAAAAGAAAAGCCACCAGAAAAAACACAAGAAAAGGCTGAAATGAATTAGCAAAAAGGCATGGTTTATTAAAACTTAATGGGCGTGGCCTATTTTGGTGCGCGTCAAATAGAATAAGTTCATCATCTATCCATCATGTATTATCCTGTAGGTTGGCCTTTGGTTCTTGATGGTCGTGGAGGGACTGGTGGGGCTCCATTACAACTCCTGACGGCCAGGAACAGGACAAAGAACCTTATCTTTGAGCTGAGGGAGCACTCAATTGCTGTCTGGCACTCTAGGGTAACCATCATTATGACACATGGTCATGATTTGACTTCCTTATTTGGTCAATGATCATAATAATAATTATTATTCTTTTATTATTATTTTAGTTGCATATTCTACTGAGCTCATACAAACTATCTCCCGGTAATATCAAGAGACATGGAGTTAATTCTTGTGCTGTTCTTAAACCCGACGGATCCTGCCTAGCCATTTCAGTGAGTGTAACAGAGAGAGAGAGGGAGGGAGGCATTTTATACTGTATAGCGGGAAATTTTGGAAGGGATTAAATTTGGCAGATTTAGCGTTTAGATAGCCATTCGTCAAAATAAAAATCCACCATTTTGAGCCATTATATGCATGCTCAATGGCACGTGACCACAAATTCGCCAAATTAAAATCCGCCAATCACCGAAATTTAGTCCCTCCAAATTTACCAACTATATGGTATTCTAGTTTGTACACATGTATATACTAGAAGTGTTCAAGTGTTTTAGGTGCATGTGTACACATTTAGCGTACATGTACATGGTAACATCTCTTTTTTCTCTTTATTTAGACTTCAAACGGTTTATTGTATTTCCTTCACATAATCTACAATCCGAATAGCTCGGGAGGCCGTTATGCGTACAAGGAACACGGACTGTAAGCTCTCTCTCTCTCTCTAATCACATGATCGTCACATGATCTCCTTATTTAGTTCTCGTAATAATCCCAGTTTTGATTTACCCTCCGAAGGCCCTCCTTTGGAGCAAGTCTCGTTGAACCTGATTCACGAGGTCATGGTATCCGGTTTGACTAGCGTCATGTGTTCGTTTGTTGGGCAGCTGATGGTTTGTAGTGACCTTGGTATAATTCATCGTGTTAGTTGGAGTGGTGTCTTTGATGCTAATCTCTCAATATACTTGAGTTCATTACCTTTTTCTAATGACCTGTATCCAGAGTCTAGAGGTATGCATGTACATGTAGTTCTCTCTCTCTCTCTCTCTCTCTTTCTCGTCACGCTTAAATTTTTCAATCAATTTCACTCATGGTTTCATGTACACATTTGTAATTGTATTTTCCTTTTTCTCTCCTTTTCTCTTCTTAGCCCAGCCGTTAGGGGAGCTGCAGTCAGTAGTTGATATATCTTGTTCCAACGAGTTGCATGGTTTTGCTATAGTTTTATCAAATGGGAAGACGGCATTTGTGACTGGGAAATCGGCTAAATTTGAGCCAAAAGTAATGCTACACTCTACTTGAATCTATTCTACTTGTACATGTACATACATATAATGTCTTATCTATCTTTGTCTTTAAGTTTGTTGCTGTCATGGTTGTTAGTACATGCAGTGTATGTATTTTATTTGTAATATTTTCTCTATAGTCACTTCAAGGAGTTTGGCTAAAGGAGACTACTGATGCTACCTGTGTTGCCATCAATCCTCGTTATAATCTGATTGTGTGTGGGCGTGCCAAGTAAGATTATTATTATTATTATTATTATTATTATTATACTATTATTATTATTACTAGTGGTTTGATTGATACGTATACACTTGATGATGCCTCAGGAGCATGGAACAAATTGAACACACTTCAGCTCTCAAAGCTTCACTTTGCTGGTAAGCATACACTACTACACTAAACCCACTCTAGCTACTAGTACAGTACTACCAGTTGATAAGTAGTAGTGGTTTTCTACTGATTTCTATTACTATAGTTTAGACTACTGTATGTACATATACATGTACATGTTTATTGCTTAGTGATGTAAATAAAGCTCTGTTAAACTTCTTTCTACTTTCCTCCATTATTCCTTTTTCTCTCCCCAGACTCAGATCAGTATCAGTTAGGGGCAGTACAGTGCCTTCAATGGAGTCCTATCGATTACAGTGTGTTGGCTGTGGCTTGGAAGAATGGCGGTTTGTCAATGTGGTCTGTCTTTGGATCTCTTTTATTCCATTCTCTTGGCAATCAGCCAGGGTTAGTCTCCTAAGATTATTAGTTTTTCTATATTATTTTTATTTTATTTTATTTTATAGTACACCTACTCCATTATTTCGGTCACAATCAACATTATTACAATCATTAGTGAGATTTACACTATGTACATGTACACACAGTATATCTTCTCCATTCTTCTCACTTTTTATTCTTTTTTGGCTTATTTACATATACATGTACATATATTTTACTTTCTTTCTTTCTCCTTCTTTTCCCTCTCTCTCTCTCTCTCTCTCTCCCTCTATTAAGGTCTGGTCGATAGATACTTATCAGTTATGGTTGCTGCCACGCGGTGAGCAGCTCTTTGACCAGTACAAAGCTCACCTTGTCCACTCCACTCCAGCTGCTGAAGGAGGAGAGGATTCCACTGATACCACCTCAGATAATAAAGTCCTCATTGCCGGGAGTCACTTAGTCGTCATTAACTTTGTAAAGAGTGCCTTTATCAATAACCCTGTCATAGTAAGCACTACAGTACATGTACATGTACACATTGTATGATTGCTATTGGTAATACACATTCACTGTAACACATTGTCAATCATCATAATATTGTTTTTGAGTATAATTTTGTACATGTACATGTACAGTAAGTAGATTTGTAATTTCACATACCAAAATTTTAATCTTGAGCAATTGACAAAGTTTTTACTTCCTTAAATATACATGTACATGTACATGTTCCACTTATACAACTACATGTACATGTGGCTACATGTACAAGTCTTCAATCCAAGTCTTCAATTGTGTTCTTTTGTTTGTTCCATAGACCAATCACCAGCAGCTCTTCCTTCACTCGTCCGATCGACTCTACCTCTCTCCTCCTCTCTCCCCACCCCCTAGTAACCTTAGGGCTGGTTACTATAGCAACGGGAGCAACGAGCTCACTAAGATGGAAGGAGTTCCCCTATGGAAGATTATTCAAGTATTACACACACAAACACATTTACATGTACATGTACATGTATGTGCAAACATGTATTATGTACATTTTTGTATATTTTAATGCCTTAATTGTTATACTGTTATAGTGGGTTTTGTGTTATTTTAGGTTCCACCAAGTTATTTGTTGCTTAATTGGCCATTACAGGTAATGTGCATGTACACCTATCACATGTACACCTATCACATGTACATGTACATCTATCACATGTACAGTGTATATTATTATTGTTTGTTCTCTTTTCTGTTAGTATGCAGCCATTAGTCCAAAAGGGGATTATGTAGCAGTTGCCGGTAAAGCTGGCCTTGCTGTGTATTTGATACAGAAAAGGAAATGGAAGCTGTTTGGCAGTGAGCTCCAGGAGCAGAGTATGGTCTGTAGAGGAGGATTGTGTTGGTTTGATGACGTCATTGTGTTTCCGTGTCGTGTCAATGGAACTGATGATGAGGTATAACAGCATTAACATTGATACTGATATTGATACTGATACTGATATTGATACTGATACTGATATTAATACACTGATATTGATACTGATATTGATACTGATATTGGTTGACATTGGTATTGATACTGATATTAATATTGATTCTGATATTGATATTGATATTTGTGATTTTAATAATTCTTTTATTAGGTTCGGTTCTTTTCTGTGCACAGAAATCTCGACACGTCAACTTGTCTTCATATTTTGCGTCTTGTATCATCTCCAGTGAGACTCAATGTGCTGGGGCCACACCTACTTATAGCAACTAGGGATCTATCACTGACGCTCTATAATATGAGCATCTCTTATGACACAGATAAATGTATACACGTGTGAAATAATAATAATAATAATTGTAATAATTTTTTGTAATAAATAATTAAAATGAAGAATTATAGTAGTGCTTTTTTATTCTTATCTCTTGTATTTATTTTCCTTCTCTCTCTCTCTCTCTCTCTCTCTCTCTCTCCAGTAGTTCCTTCTTTGTCGATCGTTAAATTACATGTGATGTCGTTTGTCTCCTTCGTAACTCGTCCCTGGGTTCTAGGTCTTGTATCAATAGTACCTTCAACAATACGAGCAGAGCCTGTCGCTGGTAACTTTAAGTATCATGTTCTTCTTTAATTTAATTCCCCTTTCTTCCCTCCCTCTCTTTCTCTCCCTCCCTAAGGTGGTGATGACATGAACAGGTTGAATAGTGTATTACTTAACATAAGTGGACGTGTTGTGATGATACAGAGAGAGAAACCTACCACTGATACTGAATCTATGGTACACACACACACACACACACACACTATATGTTCATTAAATGCTCATTATATACAATGTAAATCTACTCTACTCTCACTGCTTGTGTTAATTAATACCAGAAACACTGTATATTAGTCATACTTGTACTTAATATTGTTTGTTTTTCTAGGACGATGAGATCCAATGGTCGTTCTCTAATCCGGTCAGTCTTGCTCCTTCAGTTGAGGCTATTTGGACTCCGCCTATTGACCAAACCCACATGACGTCACCAAATCACATGATGGAGTCTCTTTGGGTGGCATGTGGAGCTCAGGGAATTAAAGTTAGTCAATTTAAAATTTTTTAATTAAAAAGAAAAATTGATATGATTAATTAATGTACATGTATTAGCAACATAAAATCATAAAATCAGTGAATTTACGGTTTTTAATTTTATTATTAATTTATTTGTAGGTGTGGCTTCCACTGTATCCCCGTGGGGAGACCCATCCCACGTTCCTGTCCAAGAGGATAATGCTAACTCTTCCCTCCTCCTCCTCTTTCCCTCAGACCATTCTCTTCTCCGAAGCAATAATCGTGGGCGTGTCACACGAACCTCTTCACGCCGACCATTCGCTGACCACACCCCTTTACTTCCCACCTACTAATGTTAGAAGAATTGTGAGTTGATATCACTTTGAATGTCCTTTTTTTATGATCGTTTATCTTTTACAAAGACTCGTTTGTTTTTGAATCACATTCTAAGACAATTATTAAAAAGAAAGTAAGTTACATGCACATGCACATGTACATGTAATACTAGATATGTACATGTAATATAGATATGTACGTGTACATAAATGCGCATGTACATGTACATTCATAATTTGTGTTTTTTTTTCTTACAGTTTAGGTAGCCATGCCCTCCAAATAGCTCGGACTCATGCTCATTTGTCTTATTTCGCTCATATACTTGAGCTGATGCTTCACGAGATATTGGAGGAGGAGGCACCAGGTTCTATTCCCATACCAGGTACCAAAGCATGAAAGCACGAGAATGAAATATGTATGCATCGTTTTTAAGATTTCCTCTTTGAAATTTTTATTATTTAATTTCATTCCTTCTCCCCCTCTTTTTTTAGACGCATTATTACCAAGAGTTATTGAGTTCATTAAGGAGTTTCCTCATTTCTTTGAGACGGTTGGTTCTTGTGCTAGGAAGACTGAGGTAGCTCTGTGGAACTACCTCTTTGCAGCCGTGGGTAACCCCAAGGACCTGTTCGAAGTGAGAACATTTGTTGTATAGAAAATTTGAGCTGATTTTGAGAAAAAATTAAAAATTATGACCATTTTTTAAACTGGCTAATTTTGAAAAAACACAATATTCAGGAGATATCATGCATATACATGCTTATCACCTCTAATTTTTATTACATTTTCTGATACATATTGAAGTTCTTATGCTGTGTAGAAAGTTTGAGATGATTCCGACTTCAATTTTTCAAGTTATGGCCATTTTAAGAAAATGCAAAAATTCTGGAAAAATCCATGTACTATAGCCCATGGTTTTTTCCAAAAAATGGCTCCGAAATCACCCCAAATTTTTATTACATTTTCTGATACATATTGAAGTTCTTATGCTGTGTAGAAAGTTTGAGATGATTCCGACTTCAATTTTTCAAGTTACGGCCATTTTAAGAAAATGGAAAAATTCTGGAAAAATCCATGTACTATAGCCCATGGTTTTTTCCAAAAAATGGCTCCGAAATCACTCCAAATTTTTATTACATTTTCTGATACATATTGATGTTCTTATGCTGTGTAGAAAGTTTGAGATGATTCCGACTTCAATTTTTCAAGTTACAGCCATTTTTAAAAAACGCCAAATTTCTGAAAAATACCCAAGGCTATAGCCCATGGTTTTTCCCGAAAAATGGCTCCGAAATCACCCCAAATTTTTATTACATTTTCTGATATGTATTGATGTCCTTATGCTGTATAGAAAGTTTGAGGTGATTCCGACTTCAATTTTTCAAGTTACGGCCATTTTAAGAAAATGCCAAAATTCTGAAAAAATCCCTGTACTATAGCCCATGGTTTTTTCCAAAAAATGGCTCCGAAATCACCCCAAATTTTTATTAAATTTTCTGATGCATATTGATGTCCTTATGCTGTGTAGAAAGTTTGAGGTGATTCCGATTTCAATTTTTCAAGTTATGGCCATTTTAAGAAAATGCCAAAATTCTGGAAAAATCCATGTACTATAGCCCATGGTTTTTTCCGAAAAATGGCTCCGAAATCACTCCCAATTTTTATTACATTTTCTGATACATATTGATTTCCTTATGCTGTATAGAAAGTTTGAGGTGATTCCGACTTCAATTTTTCAAGTTACAGCCATTTTAAAAAAATATCAAATTTCTGAAAAATACCCAAGGCTATAGCCCATGGTTTTTTCCAAAAAATGGCTCCAAAATCATCCCCAATTTTTATGATATTTTCTGATACGCATTGATGTCCTTATGCTGTGTAGAAAGTTTGAGGTGATTCTGAGCACAAATTTTTGAGTTATGATCATTTAAAAATGCTTTTTATGGCTCTGAAATCACCTCCATGTACCTGTACATGTAGTTCTAATTTTATGAAACTATTTTCCATTACAGTTGTACATGTACATGTACATGTACCATAGATATATGTACATTGTATTTATACACCTGCATGTTCTATTTCTGGTAGGTTTGTTTGGTTGATTCAAGACTCAAAACTGCTGCCTCTTATCTCATAATAATTCAAAACCTCGAGCCACCTGCTGTCAGCAGACATGTAAGAGAGAGAGAGAGAGGGGGGAGGCGAAAGACTTCTATTATTATTTTTTAATGTTTATTGCCTATCATTATAGTTAGCTACACGTCTCCTTGATGCATCTCTTGATAACAATCAGTGGGAACTAGCCAAAGATCTTGTTAGATTCCTTAAAAGAATAGGTACATGTACATGTACATGTATATATACACACATCACACAAATGTACCTTAAACTCCATTCTATGTACGGTACTTTAAGTTCTGTTAAGCACTACTACATGAGCAGAATATTTTTATTTGTGCCTGTTATTATGTAGCACAATATATATATCTATAGGGCCTGGTGACCTCTCCCCTCTCTCTCCTGTGTCTTCTCTTCCAACACCATCAACCCCGTACGGTGCTAAGCCGTTGAAACCCTCAGGTACAGTATCAGTAATATGGACACATACACATACATTGCTTGAGATATGAGGTCAGTTTTATTTGTCACCCTCGTAGGTCCGAGTTCTCTCGGAGCTAATGCTCTCTCGTCTCCCGTTTCTAACCTTCCTGACCTTGATCAATCTGTTGTTATGGTAACGCGGGATCACCTTAGCAGCGGTAACCCATCAGGCGTGGTTAGCATCAGTGGAGACTATTGCGACTCATCGGGAAAAATTATAAAGAGGTTACTATTATAAATTGATTTTTAAAATGCTTATAATATTCATGTACAAATTATATTTTTAAAATTATCTTGATTACTTGTTATTATACATGTACCGTGTACCACTTTTCATCATTTCTGTCCCCAGGCCTCATTTTGCATTGGATGTTGACACTAAAGAGGATTTCTTTATAGAACTCATTCTCTGTCGTCACGCTCGCAAGCTACTAACAACAGCCTCACTCTCAGACCTTGGGCTCTTTGCCGCTCACTTAGAATTCGATATACCACAATGGATGGCCAAAGAAAGGTTGTAATAATGTTTATAATTAATATATTTATTAGTTTCCCTTTTTTTCTCTCTCCCTCTCTCCCTCTCTTTCTCTCCTCAGGCATAGAGCTGCCTGCATTGATAGCTATGTTCAGGTTCTGTGTGACCTCCACAAGCAGTTTCATTGGCCGTTTCCTCCCTCCTCTACCCTGACCACGCCCTCTAGTATTGCCACGCCCAGTGGACTGGGCAGCAACACGAGATACTATCCTGTCGTATCGGACCCCAAGCAGATTAGAGTAACTCCTGATAGAGAGGATAATCCTGACAGCTCGCTTGAAAGTTCTTCTAGATTGGGTCTGAAGAGATCCAACAGACCCCCTGATCTGAATATTCCAGGAACCAATGGGAAGGTAGAGGTGGTAGCAGTCAATGAAGAAGGAAAAGGAGAAGCTGAAATGGAGCAACAGTTAATCCAAGAGGTCATCTTTCAGAGCTCAACTCCTTCCAAAGTCTCTGGAGGTTCGTTTAGTATTTGGAGCAACTTCATTCCTGGGCCTTTGTAGATTAGCACACAAATTGCAATTACAAAATAATTAAATATTCAACTATACAATCATCTTTTTGTAATTTAAATTTTTATGATAATAATAATAGTAATGGAGTCCTTATTTTTACTCTCCGTTATTATTATTAGGTACTGGTAGCTCAGAGAATTTTATCAAGCCTACATCATGTAAGTATTGTATAATTGTTGGCTCTCACATGTTCTTCCTCTCTCTTTCTGTAGCTGACAAAGTTTGCGACTCTGAATCAATCGTAGAAACTGTAGACGATGACCCAAGCCTATGGGAGGAGGACGTTTCATTGACAACAGTGTGGACTACGTCGACAAGAACTGTTCAATCAGAGAGAGAGATACGATACTTTGTTGATGCTAGCATTCAGTCTTATTGCATTGAATGGGCAGCAGTATTAGGGATATTGCTCCAGGACTCTACCGTGTTTATTCACATGCAGCAGCTACTGGAGGATGAAGAGAGGATTGAGGGGGTTGTGTTCCCATCCGGTATTGACAGTAGGATAATGACTGGTGTGTCATCACTTAGTGAATGGGCAGCTAGCAATTGGTAAGAAATGACAACCATTTACATGTATTTATTATTTTTATTAGAAGAATAAGTGAAAGCTATTCTTGCAAATAATTCATATGTAAACTTTTAGCTTTGATTTACTGTGATGTAAATGCAAAATAACTTGATCTATCACAGCCATGCATGTACATGTAATTACAACAAAAAACTAAGTAATTGTTACATTATTTTATTTGGTTTCTTATATAGCCCTGGGTACCTGCCTTTCCTATCACTCATCACTCCAATCCTTTGCCAATGGCAGCAATCATTAGTAGATCATATGAAAAAGACACCTGGTGAAGCACAGCTACAAGCTGGAACAGGAGTTGGCAGTGATCCTCTTGATTTGCTAGTGAATCATGAATCTACTGGTGGGAGTGCTGGAGTAGAAGGAGGAGGAGAACCTACTTCACCATCAGAGACAAATAAAAAGATATTGAAGCAAAATAACAGCAACAAAACTGATACACCTTCTCAAGAAACTGCACATCAACAGCAGAAACAGGACGAGACAGGAGGCTGTGTTATAAACTGAATTATTATAAATATTCCTTTTTGCAATTATTAATGATGATAATTTATAAATTTGAAATCTTCAAAAAATCATCTTATTAGTTTTTATTGTTTACGAACATCAGCATAATTATATAAGCATTTACTTCCACTGTGGTATTTTTTGACAAGTTTCGCAAGTCTCCATTTCTTTCTGAAAGTGTTCTACTTGAATGGTAATGCTTGAAAATCCATACTCAGTTTTTAGTATATTTGAAGCATCTGTTAATATACTTTGAGTATCAGATTTATTACCTTCACCAATAACAAGTGAAATGAACTCAATATTAATGTATGGATTACACTAACCGACTGCAATATGAACTGCTATTGCTATTTTATCTACAGTCAATGACCATACATGAATATTGTGAACTAGTGCCACATCAGGTAAATCCATGAGAGCTTTCTCTATTGCATCAGTGTCAATGTTATATGGAACACCTATCATGAATACAATTGGTATTATACAAATTAATGACAACACGGCATTTCACATCATATACCTTCCATTAGTACGAGTACAGCATCTCTCAGTACACTGAATGTTGATATGATGACAAGGATTGAGAATATGAAGGTGCACACTGAATCTATGAAATGCATTTTAGGCTGCAATAAAAAAAATTGGAAATTAGCTATTTTCTGGCAAGTATACAGCTTACAAAGAACTTAATGATGTATCCTGCAATTAGAATTCCAATGCTTTGAATAAGATCACCAATAACATGAATAAAAGCAGCACGTACATTGATATTTTTACTAATTTTTTTCTTTTTTCCCCTTGATTTATCCTTTTTCTCATTATTACTTAACCGTGGAATAAATTTCTGCCAACAATTTTTTTCGTCATTTTCTTCATTTTCTAACAAAGACAACGAGCCACCATTCTCATTCTCGTGATGATGTTGATGCAAAACACTGCACATGCTGTAAAAATAATGATAAGTTATAGTTGCTGAGCAGTGACAGCAATCAGTACATACATCATGCATGCTGCACAGCTATTATTATACTTACAACACATTGAAGAAGACTCCAACACAGGCTGTGATCAGCATTATATCAGCATCAATCACTTCATCGTCATGAATCAGTCTTTTCACTGCTTCATATACCAGTGCACCAGTGATGATCCAAATAACAAAAACAGAAGCAACTGCTCCAATTACCTCTGTATAATATAATTACACAGAAAAGATAATTTGTGGTACAATCTGCCAATTCCTATGTTCTTAATTGGCTGCAAACCAATGTATATACATAACAGGTACTCACTGATAAAATTACATTGCTCTATAATATATGGCAGTCATAAGTGACTTTGATATTGATTTCCACAAAACTCTGCATTATGCGTGGCACAACTTTCAATCTTCAGTTCATGCACTCTTACATACCTGCTCTATACCAACCAAATGACATTCGTTTGGAAGGAGGTCTTGTTGCCATCCAAATAGAAAACAAACTAATTAAGAAACTAGCAAAGTCAGACAGCATGTGAGCAGCATCAGTCATTATTGCAAGACTATGAGAAAAGTATCCACCTAAGATTATAAGTGATCAACTGAACATGACAACTTTTCAGTGGCTCACCTATAAATTCTCCAATGACGAAAATTAGAGCCATAACACAAGCAATCACTAGCCTGAGGATGGCCTTTTTATTGCTCTTGTTCTCATCAATCCTTTTTCTGTGACAACTACAGCTTTCCATTGTGATTGTTGCTGCACTTATAATAATTATTAACTAATAATTAATTATCACTACACTACATCCTGTTCGTCATTATGAAACAGGATGTAAAAATTCATTATTACTTTAACTATTAATTATTTGTCCATGATTAAAAATAATTTCTTTATTAGAATTCAAACAAAATAAAACAGAAACACATGATCAAAATATATAGTGTCACACCTAATAAATAATACCAGTTATAGCTTTAAGTGAAATAAGTATGTACATTTTACACAGGTCTTGTAGGACTAATAGCTCTTTCTGGATCATTACAAAACATCCCACTGTTCCTTCTCCTTCCACTGTTCCTTCTCTCATAGCCCCCATGTTGCTGCTGGCAGGGTTTACAGGTCTCCATCTCCTCTTGAAAGTTCTCAACTTGCAGTGTAGTACTTGAGAAACCATATTTGTTCCTTAACATTTTGGAAGCAGTTGATAGGACAGCTTGAACATCTGCTCCTTTCTCTGCAAAATAACACCACAGTAACTTTGTATTACTCTCTTGTGCAATAACTAACTGATTGCTAAATGAGCAGCTATTGCTGCTTTGTTGACTGTCAAAGACCACATGTGTATATTATGGACATGCACAACATTCTCTAATTCTCTAAGATCATTCTCAACAGCTTCAGTATCAATATTACGTGGAGCACCTACACAAATAATCATACATTATTAATTCATGCAAACAAACTAATCCCTCACCTTCCATTAGTACTAGCATAGCATCTCTGAGTACATTTATTGTTGATATTATTACAAGGATTGAGAACAGGAAGGTACAGATAGGATCAACAATGTGCCACTGAGGCTACAGAAATTAAGAAGCAATGTACTATAAAAGTAGCAGTATGCAACTTACAAAAAACTTAATGATGTATCCTGCAATCACAACTCCAATGCTTTGAATAAGGTCACCAATGACATGAATAAAGGCAGCACGGACATTGATATTTTTACCACTTCCTCTCTTTCTTTTTCTACTTTGACTACTAATTGATACATAATAGTCTTCCTCTTCTTCATTTTCCTGATGATGACGACGATTACGCATTAGCTTATGCCACCATCTTTTCTTGATAATCCTTTCTCCTAATTCTTCATCATCGTGGCTGTGACCATGTCCATGACCGTGACCGTGACCATGTCCATGACCATGTCCATGATCATGTTGATGCAATACCATACACATACTGTGGATTGGACAAAGAAGGAAAATAAAGTAATACAACAAATAACAATTAAAAAACAATGGAGAATATTATTACTGTCAATGTAGTGTATAGCTGAAAATATTGTGGGGACTTGTATTTTGCAATTTTGTGCTAAATTTATTTTTCTGGTGTAGTCGTGAGTTGTTGATATAACCATTAACTTTGATAATGAACAGCAAATTCCAGCAAACCAGCTATACAGTGAGTCGCAAAAAATGAAAAAAATAAAATAAAAGAAAATTTGCCTATCTCCATGCATAGTATAGATGTACTTCTAATGGTTAACTTACAATACATTAACAAATACTCCAACACAGGCAGTTATTAGCATAATATCAGCATCAATGTTGTTATCATAATGTATCACTCTTAATATAGCTTCATATACCAGTACACCAGTGATCAACCATATTATTAGGACTGATATCACAGCTCCCATCACCTCTAAAAAGAATAAAATCAAAAAGAGTCAAGTATAAAGTACATTACATACAAAAAATTTTAGCAACTTTTGACCAATACCCTGTACTATAATAGTCTAAGCAACTTTAAAAATTCATATAAAATCCAATTTTGATTGGAATCAGCTCAAACTTTCTACACAACATAAGTACATGCATATGCATCAGAAAAAATTATAAAATGAAAAATTCCCTCTTTTTAAATTTTCATAAAATTTGGCCAAAGACTATGTACTTTAAGTACAGGGTCTTTGATCCAATTTTGGAGTGAACTGGTATAAGTATATCCAGTAACCAGTTGAATGATGAGGTGTTGTACTACAACACTTAACTTCCTATCACAAACAAGGTATTAATATTGTTTAGTGTAAAGGGAAATGTCTTATTGCTCTTATATATTGCATTTGGAGGATGAACCCTTATCCAAGAAAAGTGATACCACAAAAAATACTCATTGCACATGCATAGCATGTGTACCTAGCTGGCTCTACAAGCAAAACACTGGCACTGGCATACATAACAGTAGGAGATAGTCTATGCTAGATTTACAAAGGAAAGAACTTAAGCGAAACTTTAAATTAGAAAAATCAATATCTTAGCACAAAAACAATATTTTTATACTCCATAATGTTAATTACGTATGTACGTACGTAGGTGTGTGTGACTATGCTGCTATCATATCAGTTGTCATTACTGTGAATATAATTATGAAGAACAATTGACCTGCTTTGTACTGCTGCGATCGGTGCTGACATGTAGTTACGGTATAAACTGCTCGTAACAAAATTACAAAAAACATGCAAACTTATATATACATAGACGTGCAAATTTAACAAGAGAAGCCAAAGCAAAACCATAGTACAAGTCTTCATGTGCAATTTTACGCTTGCTTTAACAGCCCAGTGTATGTAGTAGAGAATAAAATGAATTTTTATTTCTTGTTAACCTTGGTATGTGTACTACCATCTGTTCATATTGTCTTAATCCTCATTATCACTGCATTGTAACTGATTATCATACATAATGCAAGATGCATACTCAATAGTCTAGCACTAACCCAAGAACCAGTCTAAGTACACGTAATGTATGCTTAATTACCTGCTCTATGCCAACCGAATGACATTCGTTTGGAAGGAGGTCTTGTTGCCATCCAAATAGAAAACAAACTAATTAAGAAACTAGCAAAGTCAGACAGCATGTGAGCAGCATCAGTCATTATTGCAAGACTGTGAGAGAAATATCCACCTGGGGAGAGAGAATGGTAGATGGGATGGAGGGGGATAGTGAGAAGAAGATAGGAAACCGAATGAGTTCAAAATGCATTCAATTTCAAAAACATACCAACAACTTCTCCAGTCATGAAAGCAAGTGCAATGACGCAAGCAGCAACAAGTTTAATACGAGCCTTTCTGCTTGTAGTATCCTTCACTTTAACATGGCAGGCACAACGTATGGACTTGTCCACGGCATCCTCGCTAAGATCAGCATTAATAGAATTTACTTGTTCAGAAAGGAGAGGATGATCCTCTGTTGGGGAGGGACTGGATGAGGCAGACTCATGCCCAGTAGACACATTTCTGGATAGAGTTAGGCTCTTTGGTGCGGACTGTGAAGGAAGAAGGGGTAACACAGGAGATGAGTCCCTACCCACAGGTCTACTGCTACTTTTACTAGAAGGGACACATTTCTTACACTCGTCAGATCTCGCATCAGGCTGGCTACAGGTGCAGTTTGGTGAGAGGGTGTCTCTGTCGACGAGTGTAGTATTGAGTAAAAAGTCTCTGTGAGATTGGGCCGTGGGTGTCATGGTGGCAGACTTAATCATGAACTCCTTTTCAGGCAAGAGGGCAGGCTCCGAGCAGGAAACGGTAATGTCTATCGGAGAACTCATCGCCCCGGTTCTGGTAGTCTAGAGTACTGACGGGAGCGGAATAGATCCAAGGAGAAAGGACTCTTTGTTTGAAATTGAATTGAAGCACCGACTCTGCGTCTGCGACTCACTTGCTGGATTTCAAAACGTAATGGCGAGTGGCGACGTCCCGCCTGATGACTCTGACCATTCTGTGTCGTGTGCATACCTAAAATAATGACTTTCATCACAATCCACAGGTCATCTACTACGCTTAATCATGGCTTCTATAATTTAGATTGCATCCCACGTGAGCCAGCCTATATTGTTTTAGTTGTAAGTACAAAAAATAATAATAAATAAAGGATGATAAATAAATAAAATAGTCATCATCACGCAAAAATTTTATTAAGTCTCTCTTCGTTCAGCGAGACTGCAAGTAACACTGCAAAAGCAAGAGAAAACCCAATTAATATGACAGAACAGTGAGCAGTTTTCTGACAACAAGTATAATGATTGAGATGGCTTTCATGTTCAGGAGAAGAAGAATCGTGATTATGAGATGAATCAAGTCTCAATTCTGGTAGCTATATAGTAACAAAATTACCAAGTGATATAATATTTATGAATAGCTCCTTACCAGATCAGCAAGAGCAATATACAGGAATGAACCAGCAGCTATAGCCAGCAACCATTCCTTAGAAGTAGCACTGTTAGTACTAATAGCAACGCCAATGAAAAACCCAACAATTGCTGTCAGTGATGAAAGGAAATTGAACATAAGAGCAGTGACCCAATGCAACCCTGACTTTACAAGTATACCAAAATCAGCTACAAGAAATGAAAATAATCATTAATGAGACATGGCATGACATAAGGATATCAATAAGCTACTGTAAAATGTGTTTTTCAAAAATCGTTTGATTATAACGTAGATATACACTACTGCATGTACTTAATAGATACTAGTGTACTTACTTGCAATTAAAATCATTGCATTTTGCCAAAAAAATATTATTAATAATTAATATCATTAACTAATTCACAGTACTAACCCATTTCATGAGGTATTTCATGGAGGCCTATAGCAAAAGCTGTACTTAGTCCTAGAGCAAGACTTTGGGAAACAGCAACTCCCAAAGCAATACCATCAGCAGCATTATGCATTAGATCTCCAATCAATATTATCCAAGCTAAAGGACGGACCTGTCTAAAAGAACAAACCTTCTGACAGAATGTCTTTGTGTTGTTATTAACTCGCCGAGTTTCCATATTAGTTTCACCATTCTGTAAAATTAATAAAAGCAAACGCTTTAAAACAAGAATGTACATGTACTTTGTAAACTGTATTACTGTCTCTTACACAAGTAGATATCAACGGTCTTCTATCGCCAACAATTGCAGAGCGGACTATAGCCTCAGTCTTATTTTTCTTTGCAGCTGTGTTTATCAAAGAATGAAGTATTAACTCCAACAAATAGAAAGCAAAGACACCAGCTGCTATTCCAGTGGCTTTCCAGATTGCTTCATTGTGAGTAATCTCCCCTTGAACATGATCATTGTCATGTGGATGGTCATGACTAATATGGAATATCTAGGCGGAATGTGAAGGGGGAGGAGAGAAAGAAGATAGAGAGATGATAAAGATTCTGATAAAAATGTAAAATTAATTTCAAATAGCAAAAATAAACAGCTCAGCACTTTAATGACTTACAGTAGGTAGGAGTTCAAATAGTACATCACAGAGCAAAGCTGATACTCCCATAGCAGTCAGCATTGTCAATAGGTATCTACTGATTAACTGGCCTAAAGGATTTTCTTCATTTAGACATGGGACAAGAACCAGACCAAGCAATGATAACATTGATATGACAGAAACCATGATAAAACCATAACCATAAGCTATAGAGAAGGATGGAAAGAGGGAGAGATGATTCAAAGATTATAACAAAGTACCTTTTGCTGGATTTGAATGGCTGTTATTAGTGCCATTACTATCACCACTTATTCTGAGGCTTAACGACAAGTTCAGTGCTGAGCTCATGTACATTAGTGTTGTACCACACACCTCATAGACTGAGTGACAGGACACGTGGATAAAATTATCATCTTGATCATCTGGTAACAAAAGAAAATTAAATTTGATGTACGTTTATGAAATGGAAACAAAAATTAAATCCAAGTTACCAAACAAAAGCCTTAGACCACACCTACATAGCTAGTTTATTATTATTTATTGTATTCTGCATTGTTATTATTATTTTTAGCAAAAACTCACTCGAATCAGTCCATTTTCCATTGCTACAGACACTGTAAGTTGAGCGGTCAACAAAAGTGGCGGCTTTATCCAACTGACTCACAAATAGCTCGTCGCTAATAGACAGGTCAGGCTTTAAAAGGAGAAAGATAACCTTTAAAACTTCTCCCGTACCCAGGACTTTTACTCACTGTATCTTTAGTATCCTCTCCTGTTGTAAGATAAGCACAAAATAATAATAACAGCAAGAGATACGGAAATGCCGCAAAACTCATTTTCGCTAGGTGTGAGCTCGATCGCGTGGTGATTGCTTCTTCAAAAATTAATTTTTTGAAATTTTAATAGCGTTAGCCACTCAAGTTTTATTATTTAAAATGAAAAGTTTACACTAAGTTGCAGTGTATCTATGGACTTGAAGCTATAGCTCTTACAAACATGATGTCCAAAAAACCGATACACTAGATCACAAGTTTAATAATTATAATAATAGCAACAACAATAAAAATAATAATCAATGAAGACAAGATGACGACGATGATGATAGAACTATAATTTGATACTCTTTTCTTCGCTTAAAGAAGTACTGCCTTTCCGCAACTGGCAAGGCCCACAGGTCTCCATCTCATCTTGAAAGTGCTCAACTTGTAGCGTAGTATTTGAGAAACCATAATTCTTTCTTAACATTTCAGAAGCAGCTGTTAGGACAGCTTGAACATCTGCTTCTTTCTCTGCAAAAGGTAACTTCTTATAACACATACTCTTCTGTGAAATAACTAACTGATTGCTAAATGAGCAGCTATTGCTGCTTTGTTGACTGTCAATGACCAAATGTGTATATTATGGGCATGTTCAACATCAGCTAATCCTCTAAGATCATTCTCAACAGCTTCAGTATCAATATTACGTGGAGCACCTACACAAATAATCATACATTATCAAGCCATACAAACAAACCAATCCCTCACCTTCCATTAGTACTAGCATAGCATCTCTGAGTACATTTATTGTTGATATTATTACAAGGATTGAGAAAAGGAAGGTACAGATAGGATCCACAATGTGCCACTGAGGCTACAGAAATTAAGAAACAATGTACTATAAAAGTAGCAGTATGCAACTTACAAAGAACTTAATGATGTATCCTGCAATCACAACTCCAATACTTTGAATAAGGTCACCAATGACATGAATAAAGGCAGCACGGACATTGATATTTTTACCACTTCCCCTCTTTCTTTTTTTACCGTCACTCTTAGTTACAGTGTGATCATCTTTTTCCCCACTGTTGTGTCCATGTCCGTGCCCGTGTCCATGTCCATGTCCATGTCCGTGCCCGTGTCCATGTCCATGGTCATGCTGATGGAGCACTGTACACATTCTGAGTAATAGAAACAATATAAATATAAATACAATCTTCAAAGTATTTACAAATACAAATGTAACTTACAATACATTAACAAATACTCCAACACAGGCAGTTATTAGCATAATATCAGCATTAATGTTGTTATCATAATGTATCACTCTTAATACAGCTTCATATACTAGTACACCAGTGATCAACCATATTATTAGGACTGATATCACAGCTCCCATTACCTCTAAAAAGAATAAAATCAAAAAGAGTCAAGTATAAAGTACATTACATACAAAAATGTTAGCAGTTTTCGGCCAAATCCCCCTATATGTTGGCCCAATTTTAGAGCAACTTTAAAAATGAAAAACAATTTCAATTGGAATCAGCTCAAACTTTCTACACAACATAAGTACATGTATATGCATCATAACATATTATATTAAAATGGAGAATTCTCTCCTTTTCAATCTTGGCAAAATTTTGCCAAAGACTATGTATAGTACAGGGTCTTTGGCCCAATTTTTGAGCCGATTCAATTGTCTCCATAAATTGCATCATTCATTGAACTAAACTCATTGCCATGGCATATAAAGACAAAATTAATGATACAGTAACAACAGCTCATGAACATGCATGGTAGTGCCACCTACATTGTGTATACTACAGGTACCGGTACTCCGGTAGTTGTATACTCACTGTACGGCGCACACTGATATTTTGGTGCCAATTAATTACACAACAGCTAAAATTCTTGGTAAATATAAATTATTGGTAATTTAGACAATTGCCATCAGCATTAATGAAATTCCTAGACATCAATTGGCTAACCAGATTCGCATACAGTTAAAAACAAGGAAGAAGTGCATGTATTATGCTTCTTTACCTGCTCTATACCAACCAAATGACATTCGTTTGGAAGGAGGTCTTGTTGCCATCCAAATAGAAAACAAACTAATTAAGAAACTAGCAAAGTCAGACAGCATGTGAGCAGCATCAGTCATTATTGCAAGACTGTGAGAGAAATATCCACCTGGAAAGAGAAACAACATCATCAGATGGGAATGCAATTTTCAAAATTAAACAAACCAAAGGTTAGGCATCAAAGACAAACCATAAGTTCATCCTGCCCTATTTAGAGACAAAGCCACAGCCCAAACAATGTCAATTGACATTGCACTAGCCTCAGTGCAACTAAAAGTACTTATAAAAATGTAGCCACTGTTTTATGAATGTCACCAACAATTAACACTAGGTGTTAGCAGCTATTAACAGTTTCACATTAACACTTACCAACTACTTCTCCAATCATGAAAGCAAGTGCTATGACGCAAGCAGCAACAAGTTTAATGCGAGCCTTTCTGCTTGTAGTATCCTTCACTTTAACATGACAGCCACAACGTACGGACGCCTCTACATCGCCTGGCGCAATATTGAGAGAAGGGCCAGGAGATAAAGAGTTTTTTGAAAATTTCGAAGTAGAGCCATAACTAGCTTTGTGTGTGGTAGGGAGGAGGGGAGATGAAGGTTGACACTTCTTACAACTACTGCCACAACTACAAAATGATATAGGCGAGCGAGTGTGCCCGAGTAAAAAGCCCTTTTCTGTGGAGTCAGGAGTTGGCTCAGAAGAGATCTCACGAAATGGCGAAGTAGCCATACCTAATCCAGGCAACCTTTATGACAATAACAAGGTAGCTAGCTTCTCGAAAAGCGTTGGTTTGACCGAAGACACAAACTCGAGGCGGCTCCCTTTCCTCTCTCTTTCTTGCTGAGTTGTAAAGCAGCAAGATGAAGGCTTCTTCCTTTGATGCCAGTCATCGAGTGTCGTGTGCAGTGGACCCTCAATTATAAAGACGTGTGCAATTATGGCAGCCAAACAATGTTTGCCAAAAAGCCACTACATTGCCTACATACAGCCATTGTTTGTACTTTGTTCAATGTTCATGCCGTATTTTGTATTTTGATCTAATTACTAGTTCTAATTATTATCAAAATAATCTGAATTATGAAACCATACTGTACTAACATGACAGTATAATGGTTGGCTTAGTGTTTTAGATTTATAAATAATTTATTTCAAAGACTTAGCAAAATAATTTAAAACAAATTATTCAGGTTCTCTTCATTCAGTGACACAGTGAGTAAGACTAGATATGCAATCAAAAATCCGATGCCAATCACAAAGCCATGACCAATTTTCTGATTGGTTGTATACTCAAGTTGTTCAGTAGCATCAGGATCATGAGAGTGGAATGAAGATAGCTTTAACTCCGGGAGCTATATATAATATACATTTAATTACCACTTTCATGCTATGTAGACAAA